GACTGGAACTAGGCCAATGTTTCGTTACAATATCTCCAAAAAATGATGTCTTCCTTGCTCAATAATTTCCCCTGCTGATAGTGCTAGCTTAATTCCCTTTGTAGCCAACTCTCTTACTCTGAAGGTGTAATTCTACAACCTTTGTAAACACAGAACCAATTCATTGGTTTTTAGTGGAAATGTAGATGGTTTGTCTTGTTTCACAATGTCACAGTTTCCCACAGCTGTAATTGTCAATACTATACACCTACTTGTCACTACATTAACATGTTTCAGTATTTGGGTAGCAGAGTGCTCATAGTCTGAAATGGAACTTAGAAGTAAGTAATGACGACACTTTCATCTTTGGGAGAACACCTAACTACTTCCTTCAGCATACTTGTGGTTGGTTGTCCATCACAGTCAACCAGGTATCCAAAATCTGCAGAACCAAATCACATGAAGGAATTGAACATTCATGAAGTTGTTTTCAATGTTTGTGTAAGTACATGTATCATCAAGGCGTCTGTCATGAAGGGTTCATTTGAAAGTCGCAACGGAGAAATATTAGGGACAATAAATGGTTCGAGCTGACAACACTTCATCCTGGACTGACTAGACACCATGCACATGTAATGTATGGTGGTTAGCATGTAATTAATGAAAAGTACATTATGAAGAAAGACATCAGGTCAAAGTAAGGATTACTAAAAATAAAACGTTTACACACAGCTTCTTACAATATGTTTTCGAGATGTGCATTTAGAGTACACTGTATAATGAAACTTATGGTAGGGTATCTTAATTGAAATAATTACATAAAATAAAAGCTAACATGTGTCATAGCAGGATGTCCGAAGAATATGTGCATTAACTGTAAGCCAAAATCCAACAGACTTTCAAAGTAACTGCATGTGCACACTTAACATTCAACAAAAGTCTTGTCCACAGGGTCCAGACCATCAATGCAACTATGCATGACAATATCTGATCGTGAAAATGTATAATGGTGGTTACATGTACATGTAGATCACAAATTACATGACCGGAAAACTTAATGAAGACAAACTCTGAAGATTTGTTACAATTATCTTGAATACATTTACTACATTTACCATGCTTGCCTTATTTGTGTGCACAATTTGTTTCTTGTCACACTTCAGTCAATTAATGTTCACCTAAACGTTCAGCAATTGTCAAAGTCACTGCTCCTCATTTTACGATTTGTGCCTCATCCAGTCATGATGTCTTTGAAGACTCTGTATAAAGTACAGAAAGTATGAAAAAGGCACCTTGAAATTTAAATTTCAAGGTTGTTTCTGGCATCCAACTTGGACACTGCATACTATTAGGTGAGGTATGTCGTACTGAACAGCATAGCACTCTTCTTTATTTGACGAAACAACACAAAATGATTTCTAATTGTATATGGCTTCCCATGCCCAGAAAAGCTGTTTGAGAGCATCATTTTCATGTACATGTATATAATTCATATCAAATGTGTAGTTTGGTCATACTGTGTAATGTGTTCATGTATAATTCAAATATAAGCTTTCAATACACACTGTCAATAAAGTTAAAAGAACAAGAATAGGTGTCTACATGTACCTGATTCAAGATTTATTTCATTTTCTACAGCATAGTAATCACACACAATAATAGAACTTTTAATAAATACATAAATATGATTGAATGATACTTCAATACACCTAAGAAAGGATGCTGTTGACAGGTATCCAGTGGAAGCAATGCTTTTAGATTTGGGCCCCATTTGTAATATTACTTATTAAATTACAAACACACCCCCCAAAAAAACAGACAGACAACACAAGTAAACATGTAGAACTTTGCAACTGTGTGTAGCCTGAATGCTGCTGAAACCAGCATGGTATGTTTAATTGATATCTTTATCTTATCTGACCAAAATGACCCAGATATGTACATAAATGTATTTCTCGGTTGGTTTCTCAATGGTTGAATTGACACTTTAAGTGTTAAATGACAAAAACTGAGAAATACATTTATGTCAAGGTCAAGGATCATGGTAGTGTGCACAAGAAATTGTGCCCACGATGATAAGTGGGTGCGCCGACATGTACAATACGCCGACATGATGTTGCGCATACGGGTGTGTGGCTAAGGATGGATCGGGAGTGAGAGTCCGTGCCACGCTAGTGGGGCTAGCTAAGGCATTTCCCCATGGTCCTCTTTAACACGGTGAAATTCTTGAATATTTGCAGTAATTGCAGAATACCCCGCCACTCTCAAAAACGACCCCTGGAATGAATGGTTACATGGGTACAAGGTAAAAATCCCTTGAGAAGAGTGTGACACTTTGACCTGTACCTGACTATGAGGCTGATCATGCTGCGTGGTGGGGTATTCTGCAAATTCCCCCAAAAAATCAGCAGCATCTTCATGTAGAACTTCAGTCACTGTCAGCGTTTGACATCTTGACCAGTTGCAACACAGCTCCTCTGTTTCTTCTTGTTTTCCTGACCCCATCAAAATAAAAGCTGAGCTACGATTGGTCATTGGGATGGAAGCAAATTTGGCCAATCACAGTGAGGCTTTCATGAGTGACGGGAACATAAGAAGGAAAGATAGGAGCTGTGTTGCGATTGGTCAAACTGTCATACAGCTGACAGTGATTGAGAGTACATGCTCCATGAATGGGCAAAATTCTCAAGAATTTCTCCATTTTAGTGAAGATATAAGGTGAATGAAGCTCTCTATCTAATGTCAAACTTCACCTAGAAGGCATGTATGAAATTTAATTTTGTTGCACAAAAAGCTGTGACAGCAGAGTAAGTTGGCACAATCAAAACGGCAAATGCGAGTTTGTACATAGCTACTGATATCTCTAAGGGTAGGTATTTAAACCTTACAGTTCTGGAAGTAGGCATAGGCCTACCCCAGAACTGTAGGGATTATCTGTTTCCTTGCTCAATGCTCAGTCCCATGAACAGAGCCTGGTAGACAATGAACCCCATAGCCCCATAAATAGCACCCAGGACAAGGTACTGGACTGCCTCCAGACCCTGGGCCCCACACTCGTGTGATAAACAGTGGTCGGACGTCAAAGAAATTCGTTTTTGAAATGTGTTCTTTTTTCCCAATCTAACCCTATCTATCCCTATGAAACACCAGTTTGATAGAAAAGGGTCCATTTTGCACTTGAGAAAAAAGATCAGAAATCTAGCCAAATTTCAGAGCTTCGTAACAGGTGAATGAAATAGAAATTTTTCAATCAGAATACTTGGAGTTTGATAATATTTCAGTTATGTTGAAATTTGAGGTAAAAATACTGCTCCAGCAAGATAGAGAATCAAAGTTAAAGCAGGTCAATAATATATGAAGGGTGATGCTGTGACAGCAATAAAATCTGAAGAGATTCATTTTTTTCATTGTAGGAAGAGGTCAGATTAAGTGAAGATCATGGAGCAAGTAGTGGCTGATGTTTGGGCAGCATCACCAAAGAGAGCCGAACCTGAGTAAGTTCCTTGCCAGTATCGGATTATTCAGCGACCAGCTGGACCGAGAAACTCAACTTTATTCCTGCAAATTGACTCATTTCCTCTCATGTTCAATGTACTGTTATCTAATACTTGATGCCCTCCTTCCCAGATCCCTTCGAAATCCACAAGGAGATTTGTGGAAGAAGTAGCAGGATTTAGGAAGGAAGAGCCCATCCCACCTATGTTCCTGTGGAATGTTGGTGAATGTACAACTCTGAGGAGGATTTTTAAGGATTTGGAAAGGTTCCTAGGAACCAAAGTCTTTCAATGCCATACGCATGTCTCGCTAAATGAGATAAAGTTGTAATTTAATACAACTGTTGTATCATTTTTTGTTTTCACCCTGTCAGCTGGGACGAGTTCGACCACACAGAGAATGACAGCGATGACTGTCACACTAGCAGCAGCACAGCAAGTGAAGGTAGGTACATTTGCCATGTCCGGAGACTGTGTGTAAAAAGGTTCCAAATGACAGAAATAATGTGACCAATTCTGTACAAAAACTTTGTATTAGGACTTCTTCAGTCCAAAATGTTGGACAATTCAGTGCAGCTGTCCACTAAAGAAAGATACTGTACACATATTTTATTTATTTGTGGGTTATTTCCTTGTTTTCAGAGGAGAGAAAAAAGGACGAAGAAGTCAAAAAATCTGAACGACTAAAAGACTGAAGAAAAAGGTGAAGAAAATGAAAGTTTATCCCTTCTTTTCTTTTTGGTTTTATTTTTGTACTGATTTGTTGTTGCAGCTGAAGTCAATTCTTAAAGGGTAGCTGCCATCAGTTTGTTGTCGGTGAAGTCAACTCTTAAAGGGCAGCTGCAATCAGTCTGTTGTAGGTGAAGTCAACTCTTAAAGGGCAGCTGCAATCAGTCTGTTGTAGGTGAAGTCAACTCTTAAGGGCAGCTGCAATCAGTTTGTTGTAGGTGAAGTCAACTCTCAAAGGACAGCTGCAATCAGTTTGTTGTAGGTGAAGTCGACTCTTAAAGGGCAGCAGCAATCAGTTTGTTGTAATTGAAGTCAACTCTTAAAAGGTTGCTACAATCAGTTTTGTTGTACATCTGAAATCAACTTTTAAAGGGTAGCTGCAATCAGTTTGTTGTAGGTGAAGTCGACTCTTAAAGGGCAGCTGCAATCAGTTTGTTGTAGGTGAAGTCAACTCTTAAAGGGTTGCTGCAAACAGTTTGTTGTAATTGAAGTCAACTTTTAAAAGGTTGCTACAATTAGTTTAAGTCAACTCTTAAAGGGTAGCTGCAATCAGTTTGTTGTAATTGAAGTCGAATCTTAAAGGGCAGCTGCAATCACTGAGTTTCTTGTAGCTGAAGTCAACACTGAATGGGCAGCTGCAATCATTTTGTTGTAGCTGAAGTCAATTCTTAAAGGGTAGCTGCAATCAGTTGTTATAGCTGAAGTCCACTCCTAACCCCTTCACGCCGGGATTCTTTTGACCGTGACTGCTGGGCTGTGGTATGCCCAGTATGCAAAGCTCTGTCCATCAGCAGGCCCCATTGAACCAGCAGCTGCATAGTAAATAGACTGTATGTGTGGTACTAATCCTTCCACAATGGTGCTGAGTTTGAAGTCATCCATTGCGAAAGGGGTTAAAGGATAGCTGCAATTAGTTTGTTGTAATTGAAGTCAAATCTTAAAGGGGTAGCTGCAATCACTTCGTTTGAATGCGAACCTTCAAAGTGCACCTTTGTGTCTCAGTTAATCTTAGTTTCAAGTTTTGTTTCACTGTTTCAAAGAGTATTTCACCTCCAGTTTGGTTTTGTGCTAATAACATTTCCATATTCATGAGTAAAACTGTGATGTCATACTAGAAAGAAAGCATCGCATAAAGTAGTTTCTACACAAAAAAAAGTCCTGTAGATTTTCCTAGACTCAGCTTTCTTTTTCACTGTTGTTAATGTGCATAGCAATAAGAAAGTATCCATCCTTCTCAGGAATTTTCAGTTAGTAAATGCTGGGCTCATAATTTGAACAGAAACACCTGTACACTGAACCATATTTTCTCTAGATGACTTCACAGCAAAAGTGCCCTCAGTTGTCCAGGAAAGCATCAATAATTGTACTTGTTTAAGAACATGCACTCTTCAGTTCACTGAACCAAATAAGCATGTGAAAGAGTTTTCAGAAATGTTGAAGAAAACATGTAAGAAAGAAATTTACTGCCGCCACATTTTAAAATCAGTGATGGCATTTGTGTTTTTTCAGCTTTTGTTCTTCTGAAGAAGCAAGCATGGTAGAAAATCAAGTCTTAGTGATGGCGACTCTGAGAGTGATGAGGAACAAGAACAGTGGATGGAGAAAACAGCAGGTAGAAAAGCTGTCGTTTTATAGTCATGTTATGCTGTCAGAACTGAATTTCCGCTGGTACACTTAGCCATGGCATTCCTGACGTCTGAACCCCAGAAGAGGTGGATTCTTTTGGACCATCTCCATCCAGGGGTTGGGGTAGGGAATCCCCATGAACTTGGCTGTCAAAAGCTGGATATTTTAAAAACCTGGGTGTATGGATAAAGACTTTCCTTTTCAGTACAAATATGAAGTTTTATTTCAATCGGCCATAAGGTTTGCACATGCAAGCCAGAGTGCATTGAGCATGGCTGTGGAGAACATTTTGGGTTGACCTGTCTTTGAGTAATTGCTGCTAATGAGCAGTATGTTCGATTTCCACTATTATGACTGCAAAGAGTTAATGAAAAACTCCCAGGGGCACTGCTGAATGGAAATAATTATGCACTGTGGTTATATTGGTAAAAGTGTTGGGTGGGGCAGATAACAGCCTCCAGCTCTTTTATGGTTAAGTTCCCAGATACCTACAAAAAGCAGTCACTGGGAACCATTTTGTTGTTTGTACATTTGCCAACTGCCTTAAGATAGACTTTGTCCATATTGACTGGCTTAGGCTGACAGTAACACATACGTCTGTGGAAAAAGACTCTAGCCACTCACCCGTGGCTTACCTATAGTTATTGTGTTACTTCTAGCCTTAGCAATACCTTTTGTACATTGTCGTAAAATTACCCACAATTCCCATGGGGCATATTCAAAAAGTAGTTATTACCAATGCAGACAAACGTACCGGTAACTTCTACCTTCCTTTTTTATCTTTGAATTTTTAGCAGGTGTTAAAGGTGATGACATTTTGGTTTCTCCCCAGCTTGTCGGCTCATCTTCTGGCATCAGTGGCCTGATAGAGTAAGGTGATAGCAGCGTAGTTGGTCCCCTGCATGTGGGCTCATCTTCTAGCATCACTGGCCTGATAGAGTAAGGCAATAGCAGCGTGGTTGGTCCCCTGCTTGTGGGCTCATCTTCTGGCATCACTGGCCTGATAGAGTAAGGCGATAGCAGCATGGTTGGTCCCCTGCCTGTGGGCTCATCTTCTGGCGTCACTGTCCTGATAGAGTAAGGTGATAGCAGCGTGGTTGGTCCCCTGCCTGTGGGCCTATCTTCTGGCATCACTGGCCTGATAGAGTAAGGCGATAGCAGCGTGGTTGGTCCCCTGCCTGTGGGTTCATTAGCAGGGTGGTTGGTCCCCTGCCTGTGGGCTCATTAGCAGGGTGGTTGGTCCCCTGCCTGTGGGCTCATTAGCAGCGTGGTTGGTCCCCTGCCTGTATACTCATCATTTGGCATCAATGCTTTGACAGAGTAAGCTGTCTCTTGTTTTTTTCCTCAGAATTACGAGAAGAAAAAATATGATTTTGGTTCCCACAAAAATTTGGATGAACAGTGTATCATTTGTCGTTCGTGCATTATGTTCCAAATTATGTGCAAAATGAATCAAGATCTAAAGAAGGTCATCTAAGAACAAACATGGTGAAATTTCAACTCAATTAATACTTTCTGGGACTTGGACTTCAGATCAAAAGTTGCCAAGTCATGTTAGAATTACACTGGAATTTGAGCCTCAGGGACCCGTTCTCACATTCACTCAAATGCAGCCATGCAATATCACACACTTAGCCAATGAATTATAGTAACTGATATGCATGTTTGTCGTGTGAAGGCTTGCCCATTTCCAATGGCAATTTTCCAAAAATGTGTCTTCAGATGGATCATCAGAAATGGCCTTCTTTCTTTATTTTCTTCAAATGACATCTCACCAGAAAGAATAAGGTCTCAGGGAGTTTAGTTCCACAGCCATCTGTCAACCAAGTATGTTTTTCAACAATAATTTAATCAGTTTCTTTTTGGCTAACTGCAAATGATGGACTGCACTTTTAAAAGAAATGTGTAACACGCCCTCCTTAGGCAGACAGAGGTTTGATGCGATAATGTAATAATTATAAATTTACAGGCTATTCTTGTCAGTTCATTGTAGAGGCTATGGCAGTCTTCCGGTTCGCAATAGACCGATTGCACCTGCACCTGACCTGTAGTGGGTATTTTATATCAACACACATGGCGTCTACCAAAGCAAGTGTTTCATGAGTATCATTTACCAAAAATAAAGCCGAGGCCAGGTACCGTACTCAGACTACTGACGTGCTGGGTACTACACCGTACATTGGCTGTAGTGTTTGTAAACAGCATTCAAAGCACACTCTGATATGGGGTTGATACCCACTATAGGTCATGTGATTTAGCGGGCGCAACCGGTCTCTACCAGACAACTTTGCTCTGCAAAATGCCAATGAAATGTCATATTTATTTTAGTCCTGGAAAGTCCTGCAAAGGTAACTGGGTTTGTTTTTCAGATTGCTGTGGGAATTCCTCTCGTACCAATCAGAACCCACTCAGCCTGTTACTCCCTGCACTGCCTCTTGCACTGTGTGGTTTTTATGGGTCAACCGATAACAGTAACCAAATATAATTTTAAGCAAGAAGGGTTGAGGTGCTTATGAGTTAAAACCTGTAAGTTTTGCTCATTTTGAAAAAAAAATATGTCTGTTAGTCTTTGATTGTAAACTACCTTTTCTTATTTTTCCCCAGTTTCTGATTTCTGGAAGGCCTTGTTGACTGTTGAAGGTGATGGTTGCCTATGGAACTTTGAGGCCCGGCAAACTATCCTGCGCAGTGGTGACACGGGACTGGCCAGCAATGGAATCTCCCAAGTTGAAGACCCAGGTTACGTCATGAGTGAAAGCAGGTAAGAGTTTCATGTGTGGCATGTGCTGGCTTTTAGCAGGGGTGGATGCGGGGTAAGGGTAGGGTAGAATCGTGGTCAAAAGGAGCCAAACTCTCTTGTTTTGAAAATAAAGGATTTTTTGGTCGATTTCCTTTCCCTTCCTTTGAAAAACTGATGTAAAGCCTCAACATATACGGTACATGTAGCCTAACGCCTAAAAAAAAATGGAAAAAAAAAGTTGGCTTCCAAGAAACATGTTTGCCCACCCCTCCCCCCTGAAAAAAAATTATAAAATAGGTCATGGATCTACCTGTGGTCTTTGGTTAGCAATAAAGAATTTATGCATTCAACCGGCTTTATAGACCATAAATTTATAAAAGTTTCCATTTTGAGTAACCATGAGCAAATTGCGACCTCATCCCCAGGGGGTTCCTTGAGCATTCCTTGCTGTGCATCATAGAAAATGGTTTGGGCAAAACCATGGCAACTTGTCCAAGCTGGGGCCAATTTCATAGAACTGCTTTAGCACAAAATCTACTTAAGCGCAAAAAAATGTTGCTTAAAATACAAAGCTTACCAGCTCAAACTCTGATTG